TGTTCTATTATATATTAATATATTAAGATTATTTTTATTGAACTATCCAACCCTATTGAACCCTCAGACACAGGTTAATATTTTTAAGGCTTGTGAAGAGTTCTTATAAATCCACCCAGAAAGAAAGATGAATAGCCCCACACAAAAATGAGAGAAATAAATAAGCCACTCACACACAAAAAGAAATATAAAATGCCCAAGTTATAAGAAAGTAGAAAACCTCACTCTTAATGAAAGCAATTTAAACGAAATAAGATGCTATATTTATCTACCAAATTGTCAAACCGAACAAAGACAACAGAATTAGAACTCAGTGCTGTAGAGAGTATGAAAAAAAAATAGAGTTTATATATTCTGTAATAAGAGTATACATTTGGTTCAGTTATCACAGAAGGGCATTTTGGAAAAAAAAAAAACCCATAACCTTTAAAGAGATAGATACATACATACATAAATGCATAGCTACGGAAATATAGACCCCTCCCCCCCCCCCCCCCCCCCCCACTGCCTATGCTTTGACCCAGCAGCTACACTTTCAGGAATGTGACTAAAATGGCCAATAAACTTGACAGGATACTTAATCTCACTAGAAATCAGGAAAGTGCAAATAGAACACAATAAGATACCATGTCTAATCAGGGTGGCAACAATCCAAAGCATGACCAGATAAAGCATGGTTGGGGTTGTGAGACACACAGGCCCTCCCTGGATCTCTGGGGGGAGGGTTACTGCACAGCCACCCTGGTGGGCAATTCGACGGTATCTGTGAAAACAAAACACGTGCCTCCTCTACGATCCAACAATTCTACGTCTCTCAATCTCCCCAGAGAAACACGTGCCCGTGTGCGTGAGGAAAAGATCTAATGCAGCATTGCTGGTTCTAGCAAAAAACTAGAGTCCACATACCCAGCAATAAGGAAGTAGCTCCACGAACTGTGGTTTGTCCTTATTATGGGACCCTACACAGCAGTTACCGAGAGGGATGCCCATCGTCATGTGCTCTCTCTCTGCAAGAGAGCCTGTTGGATGACTTAGCACGATAGCATCTGTGCACCATTCCCTGCCTCACAAATAAAAAACCATCTAGCACCATACGCTTCATTTAGATACATGGACATAGATGTCAACACATTGAAAAACGTGAAGGATATGCACTAACGAGTAACAGTAGTTATCCCTGTAGGAGTGATAGTGATGAGCGGTGCCTGGGTGGCTCAGTCGGTTAAGCATCTGCCTTAGGCTCAGGTCATGATCCCAGGGTCTTGGGATTGAGCCCCGTGTCGGGCTCCCCGCTCAGCAGAGAGTCTGCTTTTTCCCTCTTCCTCTGATGCTCCCCCTGCTTCTGTTTGCTCTCTCTCTCTCTCTCTCTCTCTGTGTCAAATAAATAAATAAAATCTTTAAAAAAAAAAAAAAAGAGTGATAATGACCAGATTGGTCATTAAGGGAGACTTTGGTCCTATCTGTAAATGTTTTAAATTTTTACCAAGAGCATGTATTCATTTATCACATATGTATTTAAAAAATATTTAAAAGACTGGTTGCAAAGATTTTGTGATCCTAGTACTTAGGAAAATCTGGAAATAACCTAAATGTCCAACAGCAAGGAATAAACACATTGTAAGATATCTCATGATGTGCTTTAATACAACTATTAAAACAATATGTTGAAGTCTATGAAATAGTGGAGAGGAAATGTTCACAACAATGTCAAGGGGAAAGGCAGAATACCAAATAGTGTGTGCATTATTCAATACCTGCCAACTGATGGGTCCAAAGCAGAGATGTCAGATCCCCAAATGTGAGTGGGCTAGCCAAAAAGCTTTTTAAAGGCTCACTAATACCAAAGTCACCAATATCAATGATTGAAATGGTGATCCTGCTGAGATGATGGAACAACGAGGGCCAGAGACACTGAGGCAGAAGGCTTGGAAAGGCAGCCCAGGGGCAGACGGAAGCCTCAAAGCGCTAATGGCCTGGCTGAGGGTGAAATCTGTCTCAGCTCACACTGGAGCTGGCCCCGCGGTCCCCAGAGAATCTGATCCCTCGCTGGTTCGGGCCAGCCTACGGGCAGTCTGGTCTCCTCCCTCCAGCTTCTTGAGCAGGCACCAGGTCAGGCCAAGGACAGGGGCCTCCTCTTGCCAGAAGACCTTTTCAGACTACAGTGTGAGCCTCAACGGCATGGGGCCACCTCTGATCTGCTGGATAGCAACATGCATTCCAGGCTCAGCTCTTCATTTCCTGCAAGGAGCGCAGAGCACCAGGCCACTTTCGGGGGGGTGGGGGGGAGGGGAAGGGCGAAGCTAGGTCATTGATACCTGCAAGCCCCCTTTTCTTTGGCTTATCAAGAAACTGGCTCATAGTCATTAAATCATGAGAAATGCCATACAAAATAGCAAGAGTGTCCCCTGAAAGTCAAGGCATTAGAAAATTAAGTGGGAATTAGAGAGAAACGCTTTAATAGAATAAATTGATTTTACATTATGGAAAAGGAACAGAGGGAAAGAGGAAAGAACAGGGGAAAAAATGGGTGGGGGGGGAGAGAGGAAGGAAGGGAGGGCAGAGAGAGAGAACAGAGAGGTTTCCAAATTCACAAGGGACAATGCTGTCATTTCTAACTGTCCCCCCTCCCCCACCCCGGGGCAGCCCTGGAAACTGAGTGAATTCCTGCCCTTCTATGGGGTGGAGGGTGGGAAGAACAGAAGGGTAAGATAAGGGGGTAAGATAGAGTTCAATTTGAAAACCCAGGTAGAAAAATAATCTGGGTCCTAAGCACAAGGCCGTTGTAGTTAAAACAAGCAACCACCCAAACAGATGGAAATCTCTACCTGGGTTTGGGGATAGAGAAGCGGAAGAATACAGGTGGGTAGAAACAAGGAAGAAGCATTTCTGATCCTGGAGGTGAATGTCAGGTTGCGTGGGAATGATTCCAGGAACCGTGAGCCTGAGGCCAACTTGTTTCTTTTCATTGTTCATTTTTCCTCTACGATGTTTAAATCCCTTTGCTTCTCCTGCGTTCACACCTGCATGAAGTCGTGACTCTTAGGGAAAGGAGACACACAATTCCAAGGTCCTCATTCCTTTAATGACAAGGGGTCCCTGGCAGGGGAGGGAGGCTCCGAGAAGGGGCAGATGGGGTTGGAAAGTAGCTGTTCCCCCTGTTTTTAACAGAACTGCAGACGTGCAGGCTCAGGTGGAAAAACTGGGGAAACCTCCATGCCAGCTTCAGAGATCAGAGCAACAATTTGCTTGGCTTCTGCGGTGAAAGCTCGCAAACATACTTAAAAGCTTTCCTGGGTGATATGTCAGTGGATGGACTTACACTATTGATATCCTGTCTCCGAGAATAGGTCTGTGCTTTTGAGCAATACTGACACCCAGTGTTTGAGATTTTAGGACTGAAAGGAAAATAAAAATATGAAGGGAGGGGGGTAGAACAGATCCTAAATATAACCGCTGTCTTATGTCAAGGACCCACTCATTGCACCAACCTCGGAGGTTCAGAAAGATAACGCAGTGCTGAGCTAGCCCGTCTTTCTTGCCCCCACACCAGGCTTGTTCTACTCAAAAGTGAATGTGGGCATCAAGGGGAATTTTTTGGGGGGGGGGCGGGGATCCCTTTTTTATAGAAAAGATTTTTTAGAGACTATTTGGTTTTAAAGAATAATATTCAACTTATTAAATTTACAAAATTTCAAAACTAAGCCGGTTCTTCCCTAAATTTTAAATTCAACTTTCAAACCTGTTCTTTATTTATAATTAAAACACATTCTCAATAGTATTTACTATTTGGGGACGGCTGTCAATCAACAATTGAAAAACTTAAAAAAAACCTGAATATAAAAAAATGAGAAAATGCACTTAAAATGATTAAGGGGTCTAACTAAGTTTATCATGGGATCTCCCCAAACATTGCGATTTCCTTTATAAATTTATTTATCTACTTAGTTATTTTTAAGATTTTATTTATTTATTTGAGGGAGAGAGAGAGAGATTGTGTGAGAGAGCACAAGCAGGGGGAGCTGCAGAGGGAGAGGGAGAAGCAGACTCCCTGCAGAGCAGGAAGCCCAACAGTACTCAAGGCTGGATCCCAGGACCCCCGGATCACGACCAGAGGCGAAGGCAGACACTTAACTGACTGAACCACCCAAACACGCGCCCCCTTTATAAATTTATTATATTCAGGTATCTTTTTGAACATATCTGACTGAAAAACTTTACCAAAAACTTAAGATAACTTTTAAAAAATCAGATAAAATAAACATATAAATAAGGCAGTTTGTTAAGTCGCTGAAATGACCCAATATTGTTTGCAAACTAAAAAAGTCATCCCTGGGCGCCTGGGTGGCTCAGTTGGTTAAACCGCTGCCTTCAGCTCAGGTCATGATTCCAGAGTCCTGGGATCGAGCCCCGCATCGGGCTCCCTGCTCCACGGGAGGCCCGTTTCTCCCTCTGCCTGCCGTTCCCCCTCCTTGTGCTCTTTCTCTCTCTCACTATCTCTCTCTCTGTGTCAAATAAATGAATAAAATCTAAAAAAATAAAAATAAATAAAAAATAAATAAATAAAAAGTCATCCCATTATTTTAAAAATCATAAATGTAAAAAACTGAAAAACACATGTTTTTTTAAAACTTTTTGAGTATAGTTGACACACAATGGTATTAGTTTCAAGTGTACAACATAGTGATTCAACCACTCTATACATTATGCTATGTATAACTCACTGCAAGCGTACCTAGCATCTGTCACGTACAACACTATTACATACCACTGACTGTATTCTCTGTGCTGTGGCTTTTCTCCTGGAGACTTACTGGTTCCACACTGGAAGCCTGTATCTCCTATTCCCCTTCACCCATTTTGCCCATCTCCCCACCCCCTCCTTCCCTCAGGCAAACCATCAGTTTGTTCTCTGTATTTATAGGTCTGTCTGATTTGGCTTCAAAAGCACATTTTATTTTATTTTATTTATTTATTTATTTTTGGGGGGGGTTCAGTTTTTTAATTGCTCATGTTCAAGATAAACCAGAGTGTCTAAATTCACAGGTTTCATTAGTCTTGGGTATTTTTATTTTATAAGCACTATCAGTTTTATTAACACACACCATCTTCAGTATACAGACGCAAGTTATTGTCTAGCTATTGTTAATAGTAATGCAGGGTATTCTGTAGAAGTGCAAAGTTACCATTCAGTGAGTTATTTGCTGTTGTTCCTTTTCTGCCATTTCTTGTTGGCGAATCGTATCCTGGGCTGCTTGCTGCATTTTCTCCAGTTTTTCCAGAGTCAGAGATTTTAAGGGCAAAAGTTTGGGTTTACACAGCACCATTGTGGTTATATCTTCCACTGACAACTGCCCTTGTTTTGGAAGAACTTCCCGGAACACTGACTTCACTTCTGCCATATCTGAATTGTTGGATACAGCTAAGTTTTTTCCTGAAAGTTCTCCTGGTCTTTTTCCCGGCAACGTTAGGCATCCAACCCAGTATTACCAAGATGACTTACAGTTCTTGACTCAAGCCTACAGAAGAAACTGGGATGTCTGGTCACCTTTGGTCCTTTTTCGGGCCTACTTACAGATTTATCTTCCAAAAGCACATTTTAAATTGGAATCACAAGGCTCATTAGTTAGATCCTTCAATAGGGCAAATTATCTTTCAAACAGTAAGTGCGTTAAATTCCAAGTAAACAGAGTATCTTGAAATACAATAGTGTTAATAAGGAGTTTGATTTAAGTGTTAATCCAAATTTTCTTGGTGTTAAAAAACACTTATCCTGTAAAGAGACCATCGGGTCACCCCAAACCAAGTCCATTCTGCTTCCTACATTGATGCTCCAAGGTTACATGCCACCCCATTGGGGCCACAACACCGATCCGTACCTACGAGATTGATGGCACACAGCAGACTAATTTATAGCCACCATTCCAGTAAGTCCATGCCCTCCAATTTGTCTGGTCTAGTAATCCACACCTCTGGGCTTGAGACATTTGGTTATTTTTCCTCCTCAAGCCCCACTGAGATTGTAGATAACTTCCTTTTCTGCAGTTGGATTTAATTTCTTTGACTCTCTTGCGTACCACCAACAACTAAATTATGAACCATGATTTCTTATTACTTTGAATTTCTATTTTAAATTTACTGAAAGTCCTCTCTTGGACTTATTTATACTTTTCATATTAATCACCTTTTACAGAGCCTAAAAAAGAAAGTAAAGGTAAAATAAATCGGTGAAGGCATTCCAAAAATTTCTTCACATTCAGAGCCTAACTCTTTTGAATCACTCTTCCACTTAGCTGTTGATATGTACACTCTTCAAAAAGTTAAAAAACAAGATTCTCATGCAAATATAGGATAAACAACTGATTTGGAAGAGAATTATAGGAACAAAGGTTTAATGAGCATTGAAAAAAATATATTGGACTGTGTCAACTATACTCAAATTTTTAAAAATGATGAAACTGGAAAAACAAAGAAAAATATGTTGAAATAAGATGGCTAGGTTAGAAACAAAACTGGCTAATGTCCTACAGGGCAATAAAACATATATCTTTTTTAATGGACAAAGATCATTTGGATCTCTACCAGACAAAACTTAGGAGTTAACATGTAACTCCACAAAACATGAACTTTTACCCGGTAATACGTAGCAAATCAAACAAAAGTGCATCTCATTAGAAAATTAAATGACCTACATGACATTAAACATCAGTGATACAGCAATTCCTTAAAACAATTCACTAGAGAACCAAAACCATTGGTCTGACGCATAAACTGGCTTTACAGTTGGTTATGCAGCCTTGGCTAGTTTTTGTTTCCTTCTTCAGAAATGTTGCTGAACACAACTGTCTGATTCATCATTTCCGTCACCTCCTCTTCACAGTAATTAGATTCCTACAGTTGAAAGTGTATTGTATTATTATTTCTAGGGCTTTCCTCCAAGTCACCATAAATTTTGCTCTGACTCTTTAATGTTCCACCATTTTTAGGCAACGATAACTGTATCATAACTGCTACGGGGCAAACAGTGATTGTATGAGGCTGTTGATTTTAAGGTGTTCTCAGTTCCAGAGATGTCAAATGGTGGGGGAGAAAATGTGTCTTAGAATCAGTGAAATAGGGTGAAATATGGCATATTAAGAGTGGCTGAAAGAGTAAACTGAGAGACTAGTGCATAGCATATATGGAGCATACATAAACATATGAACAATAAATTGTTGGGTTTCCATAACTCTGTAAATGTCGGTTTCTCTTTCCCCTTCCACAGTCTTAAGTTTGAGTGACTTATCACAGGTACATCTTCCTCCTGCAATGAGCAATGCGGGAAGCCAGGGAAGAGTTTGTTCTTGGAGGGGGATTCTCCCATGGCCAACTTCTGTAGACCCCGGCTCTCCCTTTATGTTTAGCTTCGTGGCCACTAGGTGACAGGGCAGGAGGAAGGCTCTGAGGCCTACCTGCTGCCATGGAGCCACGAAAATGTCCTTGAGAGCTAATACGTAGGACAACTTTTATCACAACGTTCTTAGATTTGGGGGACAATAACGCTTCTATTGACACGGTAACGCTTCCCAAGATCTCATTTGCTGTGATAAAGGGTTCAGGAGTGCTTCTCAGTCTTTCCTGTCATGGCACGCACAGCAAACATGCTAACATTTATGCAGCCACTGGGGTCAATGGAGAGGTTTCTCCAGACCGGAAGTGACTGGGTAGGGGGCTGGCAGCTGCCCAGGCCTACCTGACCTCCTGAAGGCGGTGGGCTCCGTGACTGTGCTCTGTAATCCATCTGTAGCACTGTGACATGCTGCTCTCTCATCCCTTGAGATCTGCCACTGGTTACAGGCCCCAGTGTGGACCAAGAGCAAAACCCCTACAATGAGAAATAAAGCAGGTCATGCTCTTGCAGAAGAAGAGTATAGTTTCTGTATATTAGAAAAAATGAGTAAGCAATCTTTCAAGATGAGTAGTCAGAATTCAACTGTAGCATGGTCATAAAACTACTTATCCTTTACTCAGATGGGCATAGCAAATGTTTCTACTTCTCTTGGCAGATCTGATTTTCCTTACGAGCCCACACCCACTGAGTAAAAGGAAAAACAAACTAAACTATCTTTAGAATGATTTGGTGAACTTAAGTCTGTTTGCAATAATATAAACTGTTCCAGTTTTTTAAAAAAATGCTCAGTCCCTTGAGCAGAAAATGCTCAGGCTTTCGGTTTCCACAGTCCTCCCTGGCTCCTCGTCAAGATGATACCTATATTCTGAACAGACTGACCATTATAATTTATCTTCCAAAAGGGACACTCTTTTTTTTTTTTTTTTTCATTTGTAAAAATGCATGTCTGGTACAAGGAGCCATGCATATAAAAAACTTCCCATGTTTCCATGTCTCCTCCCAATCCCCAGGTAACTACTGTGAGCAATATCCTTTTAGACATGTTCTCTGCAGATGCATAGACACAAAGAAACCTTCTACATGTAGGTGACTTTCTTTCCTCGTCAATAAATGGAATCACAATATGCACCTTATTCTGTGTTTACTGTTCAACCATTCGTGTCATACAAATTCAGGACACTTGAGAGAAAGTGAGCACTGTTAAGAACTATGCCAGGACAATAGGCATGGACTGGTGGAGTTTGTTCACCTGGTTATGGAAGAGGGATTTGGCTCATACAGTCTCACGGGAGAGGAGACTCCTGGGTTCTTTTTGTGTCCACTATTTACACTGCAGTCTGTTGCAACAAGTGGCTGTATTGGATTGCTTTCTGCATTGGTCCCTCTGAGGGGCTGCCAGTCTCTTCTAACCCCTTGGGGTGATGTGCTCCAGCCCCCATGGGAGTCTGGGGACCTGGCCATTTTTTCTGATCTTGATGTCTGGAATCATCAAGGCTTTGCTGAAGTAATCCAAGCTCCCTGCTGGCTGATGGCATTCTCAGCATAGCTGTGTTCCCTTCTTGCAGCACCTGGGACTCTTGGGACTCCAGTATGCCACATGCAGGCCCAGGACATCCAGAGGCCCCACCTTAGGTTTATCTGTCACCCACCCGCCATTACCTTGTGCCATTTTGGATGTGGTGTTGAGCTGAAGGCTAGTGTTCTCTGAGGACCTGAAACTCCCCTTCTCTGCCCAGAGAAGTGGACTACCAATCCTGGGGTTCGAGGCTCCCTTCAGTGATCTGGGTGTTTCCAAAGCTCCTCTCTTCCTGCTCAAGCAGGTCCTGAGAGAGGAGGTAAACCAAAGCCCGAGTTTGTCTTCCTTAATCTATCTCTTTCCCTTCCTCCTGCAACCAACCCCTCAGTTTCGGGAGGGGTAGGCTTTGGTCTTTCCGTTTCTTCCATGTCACAACATCCTTCTCTCTAAGAACTATAGACTACCCAGCTTAGCTGTCACTGAAGGACCCAGGGGGATTTTCTCTACCTGTGTGGAAAAATGATCTAGGTCATCTAATTTGGTTTTTGACCTACTACAAAATTGAGAAAAGTATCTCTCCCTATAGAAATCTGTTTTCAAATGGACTACCTTACTGCAGACACAAACAAACCCTTAATTTGATGGTCAATGTTGAGCAAGAGGTCATGGTATGGTAGATACCTGCCTTTCCCCCAAAGCACTCAATCCATGTTGTTAAAGGGCAGGAGACGTGAGTAGTTACTACACAGAAATGGTAGTATAAGCTGGGTATTGTCCAAACCTGCCACACTCTTTGGCTGTTTTATGGGTGACTTATTGCCCCTGGTCTCAGGAAAGAAAAAGAAGGAAAGAAAAGTGAGAAAGGGGGCTCCCACCACCCACATAACCACTGTCATTCCAGCTCATCAAAACAAAAGTCTAAAACAGTTGCTGGAAAGTACCTTGAATGATCCCTTCATAGAAACAACAGCAGAGGAAAATCTGTACAATGAATGTTGGGCACCAAGCAAGCGTTCTCCCATCAGTTGTCTTGCTTTGTCCTCCCTGTACCTTGCTTCTTTCACTAGCCAAGCTTTACATCCCATTTTCCTTGGATTCTTCTCTTTCTCCCAGGGTTTAAGAGAACCAAGTCCTGTTCCCAGAGCTTCTGGGCAATGCTCCTGGCACATTCAAGGAGGGAACAGCAGGGTGAGGAACCAGGCAGAGGGTGGAAGAAGCACAGGATTTGGGAGAAGGCAGGTCCAGGTCTGAACCCCCAGTTCAGCAGGTATGTAACTTGCTGCAATTTACCTAATCTGAGTCTCAGTTTCCCCATCTGTAAAATGGGAATGCTATTATCGATTTAGTGGGCTAATGTGGGAATTAAATTTGCTCATGGGTATGTAATCAGTTCTCTGTTGGAGAGACATGTTGTATGAACAGCCTAAGCATGCCTCAAACTATGCATCTGTCAAAAGGAGCCACAGCTAGGCTCTGAGGGACATGGTGATGGCCTTTTCTGCTGATTTTTTTCCTGGCCACTGCCTGTATAGTTTCAGAAACAGAGTTTAAATTAATTTCTGGGGAAAAAAATTTTGCATATGTCATTTCACATACAAGAGTTAATGGACGTGAGAAACAACATGTTTAACTGAAAAGAGCT